AATTGTCCAATGGTGTGATTGTGAGTGCGTGCGGATGGTTGTTTGTCTATAGGTGCCCTGCGATTGGCTGGCAACCAACCATATTTAGACAGATATTCAGACAATTTACTAAATTGTGACAAAGGAAGTTTTGGCTTGATGCCAGTGATATTCTTTATCCTCTGTGAAGACACAGATATTATTGCAGCTCACTGAGTTTTGACTGGCTCCATATATATCCATCAGTATGTCTGTATTATTCTGTCGCCAGAGGGCCAAGGCACACCCACCAGAAGGAGTAGCACAATGTCCATTGAATTGAAAGGAAAAATGTGGCAAAAACTTGTAAGTTCTTTACTTTCTATTTAATTCCATTCTAACTGTATGATTTGAAAAAGGACATGATCGAGTATAAATTTATGAGTGCTGAACCCCAAATATGCAGGGGGTCCACCATAATTCATGTTACATTATTTCATTCATGTTACATACATCCTGAAAAGTTGAAGCGGAACAGCATCACAAAACAAATTTTGTTGATTTGTATAATTTCAAAAAATACCACATCTTCACTGATGAAAATGTTGTTCCTGGAGTCTTGTAATGTACCACAATAATTTTCCAGGGTTAAAATTTTGAGTGCCCTCTAAATGGTTAAGTGAAGTGAGTTACTTGCGGATTAGTCTCAATGGATTGTCTGACACGCCCGCTCCCTTTCCCCACTGTCCTGACCTTTACATACATGCATTATGTAGCATAAACCATAAAATAAATTGGATTGACACTGGTTGCCATTTCATAGAGTGTACTTTTTTAACAGAGTCCCACAGTGTGACACCTAAAGTAGCTACACCAACACCACTGTGTTTGATGCACTAATGAGGCAGCCTTACTTCTAGTGAAGGGTGAAACTGGACTGAGAGCAAAAGCAAAGGACGGGCGGGGGCAGTGCGCTGCGCAGGTGTCGAAAGCTGAGTTGGTAGTAAGTAGTGGTATCACGAGGATGGATGCCTGTCCTGTCCCCATCGATGCATTGGTAAAGTGACATCAACTGTGAAATTGCTCATTGATGACCAGGGGAGGGCTTGTCCATGTGTATATAAAGGCCAGAAGCCCACTCCCACCAAAAGACTGATCAACAAGTTTGACTCCTCTGTCTATGTACCTTGTGTCCGATCACAACAGCAAAAACAAAACGAAAATCAAAAGCCATTTCCTGGATATAAGGACAAAACTGGTAAGATATTGGCTTGATATTTTTTTCCCTTTGGAAGCTGTGCTGCTTGACCAAATTAATTTTCATACAGCGATAATTCACAAGGAACCTTTCTTAACCCGATATTTCTTATTTTCAGCCCATCATCAGCATGTTTGTGCTACGCTGCTTTGAAACAACCATTTTAATACTCCTCTTTTCAAGTTTGCACACAGATGCAAAACCACTGAGGTAAACGCCGTTCTAATGTGTGGGAAATCAGTGCTGTCTTTTTTAGTCAAGGAGGACAGAAAAGAAAAAAAAGTCACTCATTGATCATTCATCATCTTTTCCTTAGAGTGACTGTGGTATTTTTTTGTGTGCAGAAAGAGAACCATCAGTGAGGTACAGTTAATGCACAATGTTCAGGAACACAAACAAGTGGGAGAGAGACAGGAATGGCTCCAAGAAAAATTAAAGGACATTCTTGTTACCAGTGCCAACCCACAACATAGACAGTTAACCTCAATCCAAAATATATTCCCAAATGAGGTTCTTGAAGAAATATTAAACTGACCATTGTAGAAGTATTCACTACTGTGTATTTGCAATGTCTGTTTTATTCATTAATTTATTATACTCAGTCTTTCTATGATTTATTAATATAACTAACTTGCTATGCATTGCCCTTTTTATTTCTGCTACAAAAAAAAGAACTACCGGTAGTGTCTTTTGTATTCATGATTGTCAATGTCTCACTTAATACTTTGATTGCATTATTTTTGAACACCAAACATAGTTTCATTATATAACGTAGTGAAATTGGAAATAAATTCAGGCTGTCCTTACTGTAGTGGACCAATTGAAGTGTTTGTCTTAGTCACCATTATGTATTTGTTATCTGTGCTTTTTTTAATGCTATTGTACATATACAGTTTGGCTAGTTCATTATTGACTTTTAAGAATAATTACAAATACATTGCACTGTGTAAAATCACTGCAACCTCTTACATTTAAAAATTTGAAATGACTAAGTTTTAGACAAATGAGTATTGATATCCAGTGTGCCATACTGTTTGTGTATTTGGTTAGGAACAATAATGTATTTAACCTGAAATATAAACTCTATGGGGGAAATTATGCAGTACTGTACTGTCATTAATAACCAAGCATTTTGCCTATCATCAACTGTAAAGCCAATGCATTACTGTATGTAATTTTCATTGTCAAACATTAAAATGGTTTTATGAAAATGTATTAAATGTGTTTTTACTGAAATCGACTAAAAGTAGTGCACATTATTATACATTATAAATGACAGTATGTGTTTCAAATATTCTAAGCAGGTGTAACAAAAAAAAATTGTTTTTTTCAGAAGTGTGCATCTCACACATAGGTTGGTGACCCCTGCCGTACAGTACAGTATTTGAAGAAAAAAAAGTGAAGCCGCAAATCGCGAGACTTGACAAGAACAACTTTTCGGTCCTTAATAATATGATCCTTTGTCAATGTTTCAGAACCTTATGAGTATGGATGTTAAATATGACGACGTAGGCACATTTTGGATATGCCCGTTAATTTATTACGAAATCTGTGTAACACACAGGACGCTTGTGTAACATTCTCGCGAGACTTGACAAGCATTTTTTTCCAATCCTTTTTCGGTGGGATGATAAGAAAAAATATAATTGAGAATTTTATAATATATATATATTTTTTTAAATTTAAAACATTTTACAACCACACCAATGTTTTTTAAATGCTTTAAATGTTTTAACTATCTGAAATTTGACGAGAAAAAATGCGTCATATGGTCACGTGACATCAGCTACATGACTGTTTTTGAAAGGAGGCTGGCTAACTGGCTAGCTGTCGGGATTACACTTCGGCGGAGGCTTACACCAGTTTGGTAACTATACTTATATTTTACGGTACACTCATAGTCCTTGTGCCACTGCAGTGCCGGGCTGGCCAATATTCCTTGAAATAATGTCGAAATGTGTTTGTAAATTGATGCTTGTACCACGGTTTCTAATGCTAGTTGTGTAGGAGTGCTGCTAACACAGGAAACTCGCTAAAAGAATGCTAATTATCAATGTCCTTTTGTAATCTGATGACCGACTGCTTTTGATGATTAAATGTCACATTTTAGGCGAGTACTATAGGGAATAAATTTGTTTAAAAGCACGCCACTAGTGAATTCTGCCCAAACGATTGCGTTATGTGCTAAAGGCTAGCGGTGGATTTTGTGTGTGGAGTTTTGATCAGCGGAAATAGTCGACGACTACTTGAATATGAAGACTGATACTTCCGGAGCGGACTTCCCCTTGTTCGGGTGATGGCAACGCGTCTGCAGTCATATGACAGTAACTCCAGTGACACCGAAAACTGGGAACGGAAAACTACAAGCCGACCTCGCAAACTGTGCAAGCATTCGAGGTGAGTTAGCCAAAGCCGGTCAGCCAGCGAGCCCTAATTCATTATGATTCATTAAAGAAGCAAACGACGCCGATATGAGATTGTAAGTACAATAATGTAATTTGATTGTATCTTATCATTAATTGTTGCTGATGGACAATCTGATTAATGATAGGCAACATTAGACATTTTTAACTTGTTTGTGATATATTGGGGGGTTTCCATAAAAGTGATGTTGTGAAGTTGGCGTCTGTTAGTTGAATAAACTAACTTTTTCTGAGATGTGCAGTTTAAAAAGTACTCTTCAACATCTAATGAAGTATTAATTCAACTATGTTAGCTGTAAATCTACATGCCAGATATTTGAGTGGTATTTCTAATATTTTGTTTACCTGAATTACATAATAAAAGAATGTGGAGTACAATAAACATTATCAGATCATTAGTATTAAGATGAATGAGTAATTCATAAATCAGGTTACACCAATTATGCAACCAAATCTGGAGCTTTATCACCTCTACTTTTCATGTTTCATGAAACAACATATGTAAACATGGTGTGGACTACACCTCTTAAGCACTGAACTTATCTAGGCACTGCATAGATCAGGGGCACACAAACTTTTTTTTACCTAAAATCTACTTTTCGATCAACCAACCTCCCGTGATCGACCCATTAAGGCGGATTTTTCCAGAGAATTTTGGTTGAACTCCCAATTCGTACTACTTTTAGGACGCTTGACTTTACAAGTTGCATTGAAATGCAGTCCTTCGTTTTATTAGTTGTAGCACTAGCAGGTTTGTAGCTGGCATTGTTTGGGCATTGGTTCTTATCTGCTTGTCGACGCGGCCTGACCGCATTCTGTGTGCATTAATCATCCTTGAATCACAACACTTTTATAGACCAGGATGTTTCATTCTCTCGCTACCATTGTTTTCCATCATATGCCGACAAGATGGATACAAACTGGCAGCCCTGCTTGTGTAGTCGTAGTTGCTCCCCCACAGTGAAATGAAAATGAAATGTCCTGTAGCTCATGGGTACGGACATTGAGTCATCTTTTGTGTTGAAGCGCAGCAGTCAAGCTCGCGCATCTCGAGTGGAGCCCCAACAGAGGAAGATGAGCCTGCATGGTGCCAGCGGGGGCTGCGACCGCTCACGTGACCGCCGCCGCTCCAGCGATCGCTCCAGGGATTCCTCGCACGAGAGAGAGGCGCAGCTCACTCCCTGCATTCGCAACCTCACCTCACCTACACGTCAACACAACAGTGGTGAGTATGAAGGGAAAGAAGAGAATGGCCTCAGTGGAGGGTCATGGTCAAGGTACATAGCTCTTGGTGGCTTGTGCCAGAAAGCAGCTCGATACGTCTTTCAACTTCTTGCTCACATTGAGATATTTGAGTGGTATTTCTAATATTTTGTTTACCTGAATTACATAATAAAAGAATGTGGAGTACAATAAACATTATCAGATCATTAGTATTAAGATGAATGAGTAATTCATAAATCAGGTTACACCAATTATGCAACCAAATCTGGAGCTTTATCACCTCTACTTTTCATGTTTCATGAAACAACATATGTAAACATGGTGTGGACTACACCTCTTAAGCACTGAACTTATCTAGGCACTGCATAGATCAGGGGCACACAAACTTTTTTTTACCTAAAATCTACTTTTCGATCAACCAACCTCCCGTGATCGACCCATTAAGGCGGATTTTTCCAGAGAATTTTGGTTGAACTCCCAAGTCGTACTACTTTTAGGACGCTTGACTTTACAAGTTGCATTGAAATGGAGTCCTTCGTTTTATTAGTTGTAGCACTAGCAGGTTTGTAGCTGGCATTGTTTGGGCATTGGTTCTTATCTGCTTGTCGACGCGGCCTGACCGCATTCTGTGTGCATTAATCATCCTTGAATCACAACACTTTTATAGACCAGGATGTTTCATTCTCTCGCTACCATTGTTTTCCATCATATGCCGACAAGATGGATACAAACTGGCAGCCCTGCTTGTGTAGTCGTAGTTGCTCCCCCACAGTGAAATGAAAATGAAATGTCCTGTAGCTCATGGGTACGGACATTGAGTCATCTTTTGTGTTGAAGCGCAGCAGTCAAGCTCGCGCATCTCGAGTGGAGCCCCAACAGAGGAAGATGAGCCTGCATGGTGCCAGCGGGGGCTGCGACCGCTCACGTGACCGCCGCCGCTCCAGCGATCGCTCCAGGGATTCCTCGCACGAGAGAGAGGCGCAGCTCACTCCCTGCATTCGCAACCTCACCTCACCTACACGTCAACACAACAGTGGTGAGTATGAAGGGAAAGAAGAGAATGGCCTCAGTGGAGGGTCATGGTCAAGGTACATAGCTCTTGGTGGCTTGTGCCAGAAAGCAGCTCGATACGTCTTTCAACTTCTTGCTCACATTGATAAGATAAGATAAGAAAATCTTTATTTGTCTCACAATGGAGAAATTCCCAATTGGCTTCACATCCTCGTTTCTTTTCACACAGGTACAATGCAACCCACCTATTGGCCTTTCACAAATTCATATTTGCACTTTCTTTCCCGCCTATCCGCAGCAATTTTCTGGAAAGCTCGCCAACTGACATTTTTTGTGCTTTTTTTTTTGTAATGCTGTAAGATGCCACACAATAGCACTGAAGCCCTGGATAACAGGAAAGTAGGAACTGGTCAATCAGCAGGAGAACATGGGTTGGTTTCACCCAAATCCCACTTCTCACTATTAAGTGGATTCAAATTTTTAAAAAAAGCTTTTATGAAAATACAGTTGAGTTGAGAAAAGAAACATGTCAATCAAAATGGTGACTTTAATGCTAACATTTTTTGCTTTTGTGACTCCTTGAGCTATAGATCAACAAAACCAAGACTGATAATGTATTTACAGCGATACAAGTATGAAACACGCAATGCATCAATTAATCGTTTTTCAGATCAGGTACGAGCACTTACATGTGAGCGCTCAGTGATGCGGGTGAAGTATCGGTGTTGTAGTTTGGGAGCCTTTTTTTGCATCCGAGTAAGAGTAGAATTTCATTGTATTGGCAGCATACAATGACAATCGGGGCTTTCTCTTCTACAAGAGAAATGTGATTGGAAATTTGATGAGTGCTTGAGGCCACGGCGTGACATCATTGATGAGTTGTTGCTTTTGCGGCATGACCTCATCTTTGATTGTCTTTTCTGAGGAAGTCCTTGACGCTGTAGTTCTTAGTCATTTCCTCCTTAGTTAACATTTGCATTCATTGGGAATGGCAACTTGAGAGCTGTTTTACTCCCTCGTCGTGACAGGGAGACATTTTATGTGGGACATTTTATTGTGCCTTAGCACCACTCTGTGTTGGTGGTTGTGTAAAACATTTTTTGTTTAGATTTTGGTGCTCGTGAGCAGACAAAAAAAACACACACACATGCTCAAAGAAATGCTATGAGCTACAAAACAATCACACATGTTCAAGTCAATCCAGGTACCAGAAACTACTGTGAATATTAAATGTTAAAGTACGCATTCAGAAAGTAGCATCTTGTGTCAAGCATGAAAAGCAGACAACGCAGTATGTTCCTTTTCTTTCCGCGCGCACGTAGAACGAGACCGTGATGGCGGGCCGTCGTCGAGGCCCGGCAGCCCTCGGCCACAGAGGGTCTCCCCCAGTGGCTCCAGCAGCAGCGGCGTGGTGAGCAGCCGCAACAGCAGCCTTTCCAGCACCGAGGGAACCTTCAAAGGTTTGGCAGTGGGAGAAATGGTCTTTGTGTACGAGAACCCCAAGGAGGGCGCGGCCAGCACCACCCTCTGCAACCGAAATGTGCGGACGTCTGAGAGGGTTACGCTCATAGTTGACAACACGCGCTTCGTGGTGGACCCCTCAATCTTCACTGCGCAGCCCAATACCATGCTGGGCAGGTACAGAACTCTTTTTTTCTTTTTCTTTTTTTTTTTTCTGATTGATGACTAACGTCATGTGGGGAATGTCTCATTTGTAACCAAAGCTGCTTTCTTTCAGAATGTTCGGATCAGGACGAGAGCACAATTTTACAAGGCCCAATGAGAAGGGAGAGTTTGAGGTGGCCGAAGGAATCAGCTCAACGGTTTTCCGAGCAATTCTGGTCAGTAACTTTGTCCGTCAACGTTTCCTCATCATTATCTCATGCGGTGACTCCCAGCCGCTGCACCGTGGCACCGTCGTGTGACGTGTGACGTGTGACGTGAGAAATGATCCAATTTCACTCTAGTGCTCTGAAAATGATTAACCACAAATGATGCATCTTTGAACTATCTACGATAGGCAGAGCAATTAAATGCCACTTCCACTCGATGGCAGAAGCTACATACTGTAATTAACCTGTACATCCACATTTTGTTACTTTTTTGTTTGGTGGTGTGCCGCAAGTTTTATTTGTTTTTTTTTGTTTGTTTTTTTAAATGTTAAAGAATGTGCCTTAGCTCAGAAAGCCTTACGTATCGGGTCTCTCTTCGCTTCTGCGTTTTTCCCGTTGTCGCTGCCAGGGCCTGACTGGTCGGGATTTTTTCGATATTTTATATTTAAAAAAAATAAAAGTCTGGAAATGACCGAGCGACTTTATTTATGCCGCTGCGTAAACAAGTTCATTGCTTGCCATTTCAAAATAACGGCCCACGGCCCACTTTGGGTTTCTGTCCTCAATCTTATGTTGCGTATCAGTCGAATTGGTTGATTTTGGGGTTGTATCATCTGCGTAACTGCGCCGTTATCATGGTTAAAGAGGGAAGTGATTATTCACGATGACTTGCAAACCACAAGTCAACATGCTGTGATAAAGTGACTGAGTGAGTGGGAGGGAGGAAGGAATGTTTGGCTCGCCCACAAGTAAGTAGCTAATAATTAGTCTGACTGCTTGTGATTCCCGCTCATCAACATTCTTGTTTTTTGTTTTGTTTGTTTTTTTTGCCGGGAAGAGAGAGTGCGGGCTGCTAAAATTGATTGTGTATTGATCCTTGTTGACGTGGCCTCATTCTCAACTCAAATTGGCTCTTTGTATATTTTACACCGACTTGACTGCGTGTTTTGTGTCTCATTGACAGGATTACTACAAATCGGGGCTAATCCGTTGTCCTGATGGAATCTCTATCCCCGAGTTGCGGGAGGCGTGCGACTATCTATGCATCTCTTTTGACTACAGCACCATCAAATGCAGAGACCTCAGTGAGTGCTTTTTTTTTCCATTGAGGAAGCCTTTATTTGAGGGGATTTTCTTCCTATGGACATACAGCACATAAAACTCACAATCACATTTTTTCCCTCAACTAAATAACTAAGGTTTACTGGTTTAATTTCACTCTATTCCAACTATTTATACACAACCAATAAAAAGTCCATTCCATATGAGATCCCTTTTAATTTATCGAGCACAAGAGTTTCAGTCCTGGCTTGTCCTCAGGTGCCCTGATGCACGAGCTGTCCAACGATGGCGCCCGGCGACAGTTCGAGTTCTACCTGGAAGAAATGGTTCTACCTCTGATGGTGGCGAGCGCCCAGAGCGGCGAGCGCGAGTGCCACATCGTGGTCCTCACCGATGACGACGTGGTCGACTGGGACGAAGAGTACCCGCCGCAGATGGGAGAAGAGTACTCCCAAAGTGAGTGCGCCGCACGGCAAATGCAACCCTTCCAAGTCAATCTAAATTGAAACGATACGAAATTTCCTTGCAGTCATTTACAGCACAAAACTGTACCGATTCTTCAAGTATATCGAGAACAGAGATGTTGCCAAGTCTGTTTTAAAGGAGAGAGGATTGAAGAAAATACGCCTGGGCATTGAAGGTAAGTCATGACAATTCTTGAGCCGAGGCACATCCTTTATGTTGGGAATGTGAGGATAAGTGGATCAGTTGATGGATGGACAATTTTTTTTCGTCACTTTTTAATTTTCATTTATGTATATAACAAAGTATGCCAGGGCTACATAAGGGGCAATACAATATACTGCTTCATATATGTATTAAAAAAAAGAACACATAACATGTATATTTAACACAATTGAGTGAACATGTTTATGTGGCCTTCGGCAACCGTTTGAGTTTTTCCACAAGGCAGCTTCAAAAAATTAGTTGCCCACCTCTGAGACTGCGAGCAGTTGTCTCGGACAGTGGGCCAGTGCCCCATCTTTTTTGCACCACAGACCGCTTTCAGATATTTTGATGAATCGACAAAGACACGGTGCAATGACACCAACTTGACCGTCCGGTTGGCGGTGTCGGCGCGTTCAACCACCGTCGCCGCTCCTTAAGTCGAGTAGTCGTTCCTGGGTCAGGTTAAGCCAGCCACCAATAATGATTGTTCATAGGATCCAACGCGCCGCGATGCCGACTTCAACATAAAGGCCTCACAAGTAGTAATGTATATGGAGATCGAGTCTTGAAGTAAATGTATTTAATTGTTCTGTCTGTGATTGTATGTCGCTGGCATAAATGGACGAACAAAGGTATACAGTAGTAGTTGTAGAATGTACTAAGTCAACATTTGAGCGCATGTCGCTGTCCAGGTTACCCCACATACAAGGAGAAGGTCAAGAAGCGTCCCGGAGGTCGTCCGGAGGTCATCTACAACTACGTCCAGAGGCCCTTCATCCGCATGTCGTGGGAGAAGGAAGAGGGCAAGAGCCGCCACGTGGACTTCCAGTGCGTCAAATCCAAATCCATTACCAATCTGGCGGCGGCGGCAGCCGACATCCCCCAGGACCAGCTGGTGGTCCTTCACCCGGGCCCCCAGGTGGATGAGCTGGACATCCTGCCCAACCACCCGCCCGGAGGCCACCCCTACAGCAACAACTACAGCAACGAGCCCGACCCCGAGGGACCCCCGCCTGCCGTGTGAGGACCCTTGAGACCCCGTCGGACGCCGCTCCTGTCCCTCTTGTCCGCCTCCCAGCATGCTGCAGCATGGAGCGCACCATACGGGGGGCACCATAACCATATTGCCTTGACACCTCCTTCGCAGCCTTAGAGAGCCAAGAACCTGGTGGACTGCTTTGATTTTCTTTAGTTTGTTTTTTTTTGTTTTGTTTTGTTTTTTTTACTTGACCAAAGCAATTTATTTTTGTTTGCTAAATATTCAGTAAACACTTTACTTATTATTATTATTATTATTATTTACAATGTTGGACCCTCATTTGTTGGGTTTGGTTGAGCACTCTTGTGATATCAATGTTTCCCCTCAATCATTTTGTTTGGATTTGACATGTTCCCGGGTGGCTTGATGACTCCAATGTGTGCTTTATACAGAAAAGACTTGGTCATAAAGGGACAGGGGGGAGAATCATCACTTGTCATCTGACCTCCACGTGTTAACAGTGTAATTGGATGTGTTTTGTCATTGGCTGGATGTGATATGTGCTGTGACGCTCCTACCGCAAACTCAAACATTAAAGCAGAGCACACGGGCTGGCACGCTCACAATCTTGTAGTGCAAAGCTTGAAACGGTTGCCAAAACGAAATGTTTCAATAAAGGAAAAAAAAAAAGTTTTTTGCGCTTGTGCACTTAAATATTTTGTTTATTTAAAGAACATGAGGTGCATCAGCATTGGAAAGCAGTTTGAGCATTTATTTATGTAGTTAACTCTTTAAATGTCACAAATTCCAAAAAATCGAAGATAAACTTTTGTCATTTAGAATTGTGAATCAATTGAATCTACGCCGATGCTTTGGTATGAGCACATCTATTACGGTTCTTGAGATACCACATATAGCTCCTATTCAAGAATAGCGAGCAAGAAATATGAGCTAAACATTTTAAAATGTTTTTGTATCCCTGCTTAGTATGGAATTTCTTTCCCCCTAAACCTCGTATGTAGCTTTCATTGTTACTGTATTGAGATAGAGCATCTCCATTAGATTCCTCGTTTTTTTTTCCCCACAACTCGTGCCACTTATGTCATACTAGTACTGCATGTGATTAAACCTTATTGGTAAACTTAATTTGTTTTTTTCAATTTAGTTTAAACTGTAGGAACACCTACAATGCCGCACTGGTTATACTACTAGACCCAACTAGTCTGCATATATCAAGCAC